GTGTGTGTGCGCGTTTGCGAACGTGTGTGTGTGCCAGCCCAGCCTCTCTCCCCTTAATCGCCCACAACTACTCACGAGAACGACTCTCTCGCTTAAGTAACTCCTGCAGCTTTTCTCATTTTACCATTTTTCAATGTTTAGAATTTTTTTTTTTTGGTCCTTTTTTTTGGCTAACTTAGGAGTTTCCCGGGTCAAAAAAAATAAAAATACACAGTAACTATGATTATTTGCTAGTAGTGATTTTGAAGTTCTAAAAGCTATTAACTAATCACTTTTTCACTTCTTTCGATTAGGAAAATAAAAGCCCCTGTTACCAAGATTCGCGTGCGTGCATTTCATGTACATTGAGGATGTCAAGTTGTTTTTTTTCAGGCAATGAAAGGATTCTTAAGTGTACACATTGTACTAGATACTGGTTTGAAGAGCGTTTAGTCGAGAAGGGGGAAAACGGTGGAGAAAGGAAGAACTCACTCTTGCTACCTGTTACCGCTCCAGAGGCGGCCAAGTCCCTGGCAGCCCTGCTGGAGCCGGATATGTAGTTGTTTTACTAAAAGCTTTTTATTTCCCTTATTAGAAGCAGCAACTTCGCCTCTGCCAATCGCTGACCATTATAATTACTCAATTTTTAAAAGGGAGGTTTGAGGCGAACTTTGAAAAGCCCCAATAAAGAGCGGGCGGCCCTTTCAATGGGCTGTTTATTAGAGAGGAGCCTTCCGCACCTGATCCCCGGCGCGTGGGAGCGCTCTCTGCGCCGCGCCCCCAGCTCTCCCAGTGTAGCACACGCTTTTGTACAAGGTGGAAATTCAGCAGAGGGCAAGGGATGGAGGGCGAGAAAAGAAAGGCGAAGGGGAGCGGGGAGAGGAAGACCTCTGCCTACTTCTGCCAAATGTCTGATTGATGGTGAAATGATTTGGTGAAAACTACTTTTCCTCCTCCATACAGTCGCTCTTCAATCTCCCATCGGTATAATCTTCTTTAAAAATCACTGCCAGTGTTAGTAAATTATGTAATGGCTCTTTAACTTAAATCGCTAAGTACAGAGAAGCCAGGTCAGAGATCGGAATAGAATGTGCGGTTTTCAAACCCATTGGGTTTGTGGAGTTGTGAGTGACTTTGAATACAGATAAACATGAAGTTGCTGAAATGTACACTCATTTCGACACCCATTTTTTTTTTTGCCAGGCAATCACCACAAACACAGTTAAGCTGAGCACTAGGAAACATGTACACATGTCCAAATATATACATGTTCACGCCCCACCCCAGCCCTAACCTCTCTCCCGTGCACTAGCGGTGCACACGCACATCCTATACAACACTGCATTCAACTTTTTCTCAGGGGCATTCATTTTGTAATAACCGCTCACCCCCACACTGATCTTTACAAGTGCTTGTGCATGGTAGTTGTGGGAGCTGAAGACTTACCTAGCTTTTGAATATAGCGATTTTCTCCTCTGCTTTCTGTTTGCCTCTCTGCCCTGTTGAATGTAGGAAACCGAAACATGACCAAATCGTACAGTGAGAGTGGGCTGATGGGCGAGCCTCAACCTCAAGGTCCTCCCAGCTGGACAGACGAGTGTCTCAGTTCTCAGGACGACGAGCACGAGGCAGAAAAGAAGGAGGACGACCTCGAAGCCATGAACGCGGAGGAGGACTCATTGAGGAACGGGGGAGAGGAGGAGGACGAAGATGAAGACCTGGAAGAGGAAGAAGAAGAGGAAGAGGAGGACGATGATCAAAAGCCCAAGAGACGTGGTCCTAAGAAGAAGAAGATGACCAAGGCGCGCCTGGAGCGTTTTAAACTGAGGCGCATGAAGGCCAACGCCCGGGAGCGGAACCGCATGCACGGACTGAACGCAGCGCTGGACAACCTACGCAAAGTGGTGCCCTGCTACTCCAAGACACAGAAGCTGTCCAAAATCGAGACTCTGCGCTTGGCCAAGAACTACATCTGGGCTCTGTCGGAGATTCTGCGCTCAGGCAAAAGCCCCGACCTGGTCTCTTTCGTACAGACGCTCTGCAAGGGGTTATCCCAGCCCACCACCAATCTGGTTGCGGGCTGCCTGCAGCTCAACCCTCGGACTTTTCTTCCTGAGCAGAACCAGGACATGCCCCCGCATCTCCCGACCGCCAGCGCTTCCTTTCCTGTACACCCTTACTCCTATCAGTCGCCGGGGCTGCCCAGCCCACCCTATGGTACCATGGACAGCTCCCACGTCTTCCACGTCAAGCCGCCACCGCACGCCTACAGCGCAGCGCTGGAGCCCTTCTTTGAAAGCCCCCTGACTGATTGCACCAGCCCCTCCTTTGATGGACCCCTCAGCCCGCCGCTCAGCATCAATGGCAACTTCTCTTTCAAACATGAACCGTCCGCCGACTTTGAAAAAAATTATGCCTTTACCATGCACTACCCTGCAGCGACCCTGACAGGGGCCCAAAGCCACGGATCAATCTTCTCCGGTGCCGCTGCCCCTCGCTGCGAGATCCCCATAGACAATATTATGTCCTTTGATAGCCATTCACATCATGAGCGAGTCATGAGTGCCCAGCTCAATGCCATCTTTCACGACTAAAGGCACGTCTGTTTCACCATTCCCGGGAAACGAACCCACTGTCCTTACAGTGACTGTCGTGTTTACAAAAGGCGGCCCTTTGGGTACTGTTGCTGCAAAGTGCAAATACTCCAAGCTTCAAGTGATATATGTATTTATTGTCGTTACTGCCTTTGGAAGAAACAGGGGATCAAAGTTCCTGTTCACCTTATGTATTATTTTCTATAGCTCTTCTATTTTAAAAAATAAATAATACAGTAAAGTAAGAAAAAAATGCACCACGAATTTGGTGTAGCTGTATTCAGATCATATTAATTATCTGATCGGGATAACAAAATCACAAGCAATAATTAGGATCTATGCAATTTTTAATCTAGTAATGGGCCAATTAAAATATATATAAATATATATTTTTCAACCAGCATTTTACTACTTGTTACCTTTCCCATGCTGAATTATTTTGTTGTGATTTTGTACAGAATTTTTAATGACTTTTTATAATGTGGATTTCCTATTTTAAAACCATGCAGCTTCATCAATTTTTATACATATCAGAAAAGTAGAATTATATCTAATTTATACAAAATAATTTAACTAATTTAAACCAGCAGAAAAGTGCTTAGAAAGTTATTGTGTTGCCTTAGCACTTCTTTCCTCTCTAATTGTAAAAAAAAAGGAAAAAAAATGCACAATTTGAGCAATTCATTTCACTTTAAGGTCTATCCCTCTCCTTAAAATAAAAACCAGATTCATAACTCTGAAGAGAATGGAAAAAAAAAGAGAGAGAAACATTTCCTATCAAAACATATCAATTCATTACTTGCACAAGCTTGTATATACATATTATAAATAAATGCCAACATGCTCTTCTTTAAATCAAAAGCTGCTTGACTATCACATACAATTTGCACTGTTTTCTTTTTAGTCTTTTACTCCTTTCATTCTACAATTTTACAGAAAATCTGAAGCTATCGATGTTTCCAGAAAATATAAATGCATGATTTTATACATAGTCACACGAACAGTGGTTTGTCATATATTCATGTAATAAATCTGAGCCTAAATTTAATCAGGTTGTTAATGTTGGGATTTATACCTATTGTAGTCCATTAGTACAGTAGCTTAAATAAATTCAAACCATTTAATTCATAATTAGAACAATAGCTATTGCATGTAAAATGCAGTCCAGAATAAGTGCTGTTTGAGATGTGATGCTGGTACCACTGGATTCGATCTGTACTGTAATCTTGTTTGTAACCCTGTATATTATGGTGTAATGCACAATTTAGAAAACACTCATCCAGTTGCAATAAAATAGTATTAAAAATCAGAGCAATTGTTGCATTTCTTTTTCAAGAGTTTTTGTGTTGTTTCAAGTATACATTATTCCTGGGGGAGAAAGTTGCTTTATTTGTTGAATTTTTGAAAAGGCTAAAAACCATCTGTAGAATAAAAGAAAAGGAAAAAGTTGACTTTGGCATACCCTCTAGTGTGTTTAACTTGCTTAGAGAGTCACCAGTTCTTTGTAGGTAATGAAAAGACATAACTGACATTTCATTATTTGGAATATAGGAATGACGGTGAGACAAACCATTGTGTTTTTATTTTTACTTTGTTTTAAGGGCCTTCACCTTTAGGTTTTTTGTTCCCATTCTTCTAAATGATGGTTACATGTTTTCTTCTAATTTTTTAAAAAAGTGGATTTAGTTAATTCTCAACAAGCAAGATAGCAAGTACTCTACATTAGTTTGTCTAGCATTTAAAACATAAAACTTTAGCACTTTCTTGGTGTTCTCTTACGTGTACATTTTCCTAAACTAAACAGGTCTCTCTTGCAAACCAGTACCATCCCAAAGAGAAAGGTATATACCTTTAGAAAAATAACAGAATAAATGATTTAACTATTTTTCAAGTCCAAGAAGTGATACTTTATAATTATCCTATAAACATCTTATGGTGAATTTTTCCAGGAAAAGGGGTAATGCATTATTTGTAGTTAAGAACACACTATTTGAACTATAATACATTACACAGTTGTAACTCTTCTCCCTCTTTTGGGGCACTATTTTGTTGTTTTGTGAACACAACTCACTGGAAAAACTTACAGATGATTCTGTCCTTTGGTAAGTTCACTTCAAATGAGAGAGAGAGAGAGAGAGAGAGAGAGAGAGAGAGAGAGAGAGAGGAGAGAGAGTTTGGCATGTCTCTTCCTCTGAATGTATTGACTGACAGTCATGATTCCTAGGGAATAACATTTTGGCACTTCTGCCCTGGCTCCACTGTGGTGCTCTGATTACTGTCATTAGTAACTCCATTGTTCCTCTTCAGATTCGGATGCCACATTGGATGACTACCCCCTTCCCAAGCTTGTTCCTTTAATCTCCTTCTCATTGGTAATTTAGGGGTTCCAGAAAGCTGACCTCATTTAGCAAGCTGCTCCAGAAAAATGTGAGTAATCTAATGGACAGGAACAATTAGCCATACTAATAACATTGCCAATGGGGCTGCATCAAGCTGTGACAGTAGTGGTAAAGAATACTTCAATGTTAACAAAAATGTTTGAGTGCAATTTAAAATATATCATTTTAACATGTTTTCCATCAGCCTTCATCACATGACAGAAATAATTTTAAACTAGTCCAAACTTTATCCAAAATGCAACAATCTTGTTCCAATGAATCAGTTATTTTGAAATCAAGCTGTTGCTTCCTATATCCTGGATTTTCTTACTATTCTTACTTTACATGGATGCAATATTTGAACACTGCCAACCCTCCAGCATAGGAGACCATGAAATGAACATTCAGATCTGATCTGATCTATTAAGCAGCTCAATTTCACCTGTATTTAAAATTAGACAGCTTCATAGATACTAAAAACTGTTACAGTAGTGAATAGAAGAAATAAGAGAATGATATTTCAGTAAATTTAGCTTTTAAAATAACAAGAAGTCTATACTGTAGATTTGTAAGGTAGAATGAAGACTGAAAGTTAGGTTCCATTTTTCCCCCCATTTCGCCTATACAACTTTACTCTAAAGCAGGGATTCTTTCAGTCAGTCAAGGAGTAACTCACATGCCACCATCTTTTATTCAAAGGCAGGCACAGATGTTCCTTCTGCAGGGGAGGTTTTAATTTATGAAAATGATATTGTTTATGCATGAATGAACTGCATGCACTCTGCATAACACATAGCACTTCCATCTGATCAGAGAAATACCGCAGAACCAGTGCCAATGTCAGAAACATATTCTACAAATTTACTCACTTAAATGTTTAATGAATATTTGGAAGGCATTTTCAAATCGCAAGAAACCTTCGAAATTATCTTCTTTTCTTCTATGAATTGCTGCCCATATTTTAAAAAGACCTTTACAGTTTCTATAATTGACTAATGCTTATATGTAGCTAATAAGAAAAGAAAATACTTCACTGAGTGAAAAGTAAGCAAAAAAGAAACACTGGTAACTGACTTCTTGGGGGGAAAACACTCTTGGTTTTGTTGTATGACGTATGTTATGAGTAATAGTTAGGACTCCTTGGGTTCTTTTATCTTGGACATTACTATTTCTATCAAATGTGATGCTTAGATCTACTTATTTAATGTGAAAATTCCTTTGAAGAATTATTTCCAAAAGAAGTTCTTATTTAAAATCAGCATAAAATTTCATAGTTGGAGATAAAATTTGGCTAAATATTTCAACTGGTGCATAATTCCTGTTGAATATGAACATTCTGTATTAGATTTCACTTATATCATCATTTGTAGTTTTACAGCATTATCTACATACTTTGAATCCTTAAAAAGGCAATTATATCCAAATTGAAATAGAGGATTATGATATCTTACAAATATTTTGCTAATGTTAGGTTTATAATATGTTGTTATGTTGTGGTAAAATAACATTTGAAACAAATTTTAAGTGTCCTAATTTGTTAATCTTAGGAAAAATTCTTCCTATGTTTTCACATTTGAATGCCTATGCATTCTTACAAAATTAATGCATTCTTGAAAGAAGCTAGCAATTACTAAAATGATATATGGATCATTAGCTAACAGTTTGAACCAAGCTGTTTTAGTTCTATAATTATACAAGAAACTTAAAGTGAAAAAAAGATATAAAACAATTAATAAAACTAGGTTTCAAAACATAGGCTGATTTTGTCCTAATGGGAAATGTAGCAAAGCTGTTTCTTACAATACACTGGAACCTTCTCTCTTCTCTTTTTCTCTCCATCCACCACCACTTATTTCCTAAAAACCATCTCAACACAATCTTTACTCCAGGGTCAGATAATGATTCAAAGAGCCAATGTAACATCTTGTGGAACACCAGGACTGAGAACTCTTGTTGTTACCATTGCAAAGAGGCGTTCTGGCGTCAGATGCACAGTGATTTGTATGGTGGCATAATCCTTGGCTCCTGGCCAGGCATTATGTTGCAGAGGACACTATTGTCAAGAACCATTCAACTAGAAATCTGCACTGTATGCACTCAGAAGTTGAGATCATCTGCCTTCCTATGTCAGGAAGAATTCTGTGCTGGCAATTGACTCATGGACTCTCTTCACACACACTCACACTTGGTTCAATGGCTCTGATGGAATTAATTGTGTAGCCAAACTAGTGGCATAGACAAGACAAGGCCACAGTCTCTAGGGACTTTTGGTTAAATTGCTAATTTTAAAATGCCTTTAAAATGCAGAGTATTACGTTAATACTGGACTGAGTCTTTGGATATGTTCAAAATGGATTTGGTCATCTCAACATTATGGTGCTGTGTGTCCAGTTGATTTAGAGATAGATGGATTGTCACAACAACCATTTTACAGCTTCTTGGGTAAGGAGCATTTCAAAGAAAGGTTTTATTTTGAAATAGTATCAAGAGATAAGAGAATAAATTTAATTTAGTGTATGTAAAGTAACTTCGTAAATTACTTTGTTGTTAACAAGATTAAAAGCTAACCCTGCTTTAAACTTCCATGTCAAAGGACTGCCAGCTAGAAAGATGGCCTCAGGACTACTAGGTCAGTGCTAAGTGCCTTTCATTCATTTACACATTGCATCATCAAAGCAGAATGTGCCTTATTTTACAGATTGGGAACCTACAGGAAGCTGAAAGACCTAGATATCTGTACTCCTGACTTCCTTTATTGTTTTTATTTTTTATTTTATTTTATTATTATTTTTTTAATGAGAGATTTTTGCTATAGGGCGTGTGCACTCACCAGAAAGACAGAGAGAGACAGAGAGACAGAAAGACAGAAAGCGAGAAATCCACACACACACACATCCCCGGAGCGGGGGATGACCATGTCCCCTTCTCCTCCATTATCCTCTCAGGATCTTGGGCACACACACACATGTGTCCGGCATGAGTATAAGCCACCAGGTCTGAGACTTGAACAACAGTCGACTACATGGGAGTCCAGCGACGTAG